TTCATTACATAAAATATAACATATTAAAATTTTAAATAGAATTATTATGTAAAATTTTGTGTAATTAATAAATAAATAACATGTGATACTTTTGTCTAAGTAGTATATATACCTTTTTTCATTTTTGTACTCTTGGGTCAAGATACAGTAACCCTTTTTGTATCTCATCCTGCTTGGTATTTTTTTTACAATATCTATTATAATATGCCTACAAAGTATCTGCATAGAGTTTTAGATGTCATCTTATCTTGCTAAAAACCCTTTTTGCATAACCTATTATAGCCTGTCTATGAAAAAATGATGTGAAGTCTTGAATAAATCTTAATTGATAGAGACACTCCTTTAAATATTGTGCCTAAGCTCTGTTAGTATCCAGTTTTTATAGCTAGCAGATACTCAACCTATCTATAGAAGCTTTTAGAATCTATCTTGTGTCAAGGTAACTTCAGTACTAAAATCAGCTGAAGTATCTTGTGATCTTTGAATGCTTCATGATCAGATGAGATTTTAATTAGAGGTAATCAAATCATTATTATAAAATAAATATAATCTTTTTATATTACTTAGGCTTAGGTAATACTACCTCGCAGTGGTATTGAACTCAAAAACAGTACTTGGTAACCTGGAAGCACTACCACCATACTATGGATCTATAGGTCTTTATATCTTAATATCAGTTTTATATTTTTTATAAATAATTTTTGAAGTTTTATTATTATTTAAATTTTTCTTATAGTAGGGAACTCTTTTTGCTGATCCTTTGACCATACACAAAAAAGACTTTTGCAAGAAGTTTTATACTTCTGCATTAATATAGTCTTATCACTTTCTTTAAACCAATTTGAAGGAAACTTCAAGAGTTATCCCTATACTCTCTTCCTCTTGTTTTTACTCCTCTTCAAACAAAAACTTGACTGCAAGTGATCAAAAAGTCAAGCAACACCCTTTTTACCAATAACAAGAAAGTTTGAAAGGAAAAAGAACTAATGTACAGTCGTCTCATACTGTAGAGAAACAATACAGAGTATTATTTGTGACAAGAGACTATTTTTTCACTCTCTTTATCATTGTTTACACTCTAATAGTACTCGTTTCTGGGTTTTTCTGGGAAATTTTGCCTATCTCAGTTTGACCTTAAATTTTGAGTAGCACAAAATTTCTCACACCATGATTGAATAGAAAATTTTTACATTAGTAAAAGATATAAAAAATCTTCCATTGGTTACCTCATGTGTCAGAATGCATTTTCTCAGTACCCATAAGAACCTGGAGTCCACTATAAGTCATTTATTTGTAGTGCAGATGGATACAGGATATGAAAACCTATGCTATTATTGGATACACAGAAAGAACAGTACTGGATTAGGATACACTGGATAAAAAACAACAGCTTACCAGTTCTTCTCTTCTACTCCAATGAACTTAAATAAAAAAAAAATGACTTTATGGAATAAAATTCTCTTGGAAGAGTTTTGGATACCTATTATCTCTCCTCTGGAAACATATTTGCTACCCTGTTAAATAACAAAGTATCTTTCCGTAAATAGTACTAGTCAACACTTTTTTTATAAAATTTTTGGTTAAGCGCTAATAGAGGTTAAGGCTTCATATGAAGGATCCCCAACATCAGTGATAATGGATACTCCAGGTGAATCCTTGGCACATTAGCTCCCTCTTTTAGGAAAGCGATAAGCTGCCTGGTGGGTTAAGGCCTATGCAGTGGCTCTAGGGAGTGCCTACGTGTAGAATAGAAAAGTAATATGGTTTGTGTATCATTCTTCTTATTATTTTTTGCATTTTGTTATAGTAAGTAGTTAATCTAAACTAGACGGTTATGTAATTATCTTATTCTGACTGGGTGAGATATAAATAGTTAGCTCTCTATACTATTTATTGATCTGTAAATTTTTAGACAGTACGAATAATTATTCATCCCAGTTGTTTCTAGATTATTAACTTACTTTAAATAAAATACACAGTACATAGATACAAGGATGAGCTGACATCTTAAAAAATTTTTTTTTGATTTTTCTTATTGTTAATTATCATATTATTTATAGCAAATATTAATTCAAATATAAAAATTTAATAAAGAAAAAAAAATTTTAACAATAATTAAACTTTAAAAATTATATAGAAAAATTTTTAAAAAAATATAATAAATAAAGTTAGTATTAAATATTAATATAAGAATTTTGTAATTTTTAATTATATAATTAAGACTTTTGAAAGTAACCATAAATATATTGAAATTTATTTTAATTAAACTATTTCAAAGTTTATATTATTATTAAAATTTTATATTTTATATTATTATCATTATTTTATAATTCCAAAATTTATATTATATTAAATCCATTATAAATCAATATATATAAATTTGACTTAGAATATGGTTTTATATACAATTTATTATAAAAAATATTCAACTTGTACTTATATAAAACTAAAAAAAAAATTTTTTTTAATAATATTAAGTGGACAAAAAATTTTAATAATACGTAATAACATTTACGGTATCAGGGATAAACTGTACGTATAAATTCATGTTGTGTACGTACTACCTCACAAATTAAACATGGTGCGTGGAAACTCTCTCTCTGACGACTTAAGTATTTTGGTCAATAATCCTAAATACAGTGATTTAGAGATTAAATGTAAGGATGGCGCCATCCTTTATGGAAACAGTGCAGTCCTTGCCGCTCGTTCTGAAGTGTTTGATAGAACTCTCTTTACTAGAGTTTCCGAAAATCTAGATAAGCAGATTTCTTTTCCAAAAATTGAATCATCCCACATGAAGATTATTCTTGAGTATCTATATACTGGAATATTACTTGAGAAAGATATTACGGCCGACAATGCTTTTGAAATTTTATATGCTGCAGATTTCTTTCAATTAGAAAAACTTCAAGACCTTATTTCAGAGTGTTACAAAAAAATGTGCACAAAGGAAGGAATTGAAAACAAATCACCCGAGTTATTATCTAAGGCAGTTCGACTTATGTCACCTACAGCCGACAACGGAACTATTAGATATTTAGCAGATGCAGTTGCTAAAATTCCTTTAGATTTTATTGAATTTGATAGATTATCCCTTCAAGGTTTACAGTGCATGTTATCGAAAAGAGATACAAAGAAAACATTTGTATCTAGTGAATATTCTGTTTTTCGGTTTACAGTATTAACGGCTGCAAAAAGCATATCTCACGAAGCATTTTCAACCCTGGAGAAAAAGTTACAACCATGGATGGAAGTTAAGGAAGTACCTCAAACACTTAAGAACAATGACTCGATGAAGAAAGAAATTAGTACATCGGTTGCGGATATTATAAGGCCAATTGTAGAATATATCGACTTTAAAAGGATCAATGCGATGATTATTGCAAAAATAATCGAACCATTGGATATTATTTCGTCTAGCAAAATTATGGATTCATATCGGTCCCTAGCTTTTCAGGCAGCTCCACTATCACCATTTTATGGAGTTCCTCTCTTCATATGGGATCAAAAGGGTTGTGGTATGGGTTTAGAAATTAATGATAATGGACGTACTGTTAGTGCATCTGAAAATGTTATAAATTATAGAAGCGTAAGAACCAGTAATCCTATGAGTAGCGGTGTTTATGAATTTCATGTTCTAATTAAAAAATTTTCTAATTATTCTTTTATTGGCGTTTGTGAGGAGGAATACGACTTTTACAAGCATCCTGGTGAACAATTATATGGATGGGTTTTTTGTTCTAGTGGAAAAGTCTTCCATAATAATCAACGTCTCATCTCAAATTCAAAATTTAATGAAAACTCAAGAATAATTGTGCATCTAGACATGGATAATAAGACAGTTTCAATTTCAGTTGATGACATAAGATATCCACCGGTTGCATCATGGACCAATCTTCCATCTAAACTTTATTTTGTCGCTTCACTTAGGTATCCGGGAATGTTTAAAATTTTACATCCAGACGAACAAATTATAATTTAAAATCTCTAGTTATAGGAACAAATACTTTAATAACAATATTTTTAAAATTATCAAATAAAAGACAAATTTAAACTAGCGTTTACCAATCCATCTCTTTGGTAAGGTGCCTTCATCATGTATATTCCTATTCATTTTTTGTATATTTGTCGAGAAAAGATATTTCAATGTTAAATTCGAATACCTTTGAGTAGTATGGTAAATAAATTCGCGTTATTTTCTATTTTTTTCAATGCATAATTGCATGTATTTATAAAGTAAGGGACCAATAAACTTGAAGGCTTAATTGTGTTAACACTAACTAAAACTTGCAATTTTTAACAATGTTAATAATTTGAAGATTAATTGGTTTTACCGTATTTTTATAGATGTAATCCCGTGATTTTAAAATCCATTTCATATATCGTCATAATAAGAAATATCTTCAAAAGAAAATAATGCACGATTTAACTTTGCTGTTTATAGATAATAAACCTCGGCCTTTATGTATGAGGATTGGTGATTATCCGAAAGTAAAAAAAAAAAAAAATCATACTATGACATTTTACGTGAATATTATCGAATTTTTTTTAAAAATATGTGCCAACTCTCTTTCCTAAATTAACTCCTTTTGAACATAATTAAAATAATACGCGCATAATAAAATCTTGATAAATTTTTACTAACGTGTTATGTTTTAAAATAAAATACGTTGTATATACTGTACACGCAGATTATAATAAAATAGAAATCTGTCTTTTATTATATTTACGTAAAATTATTTAATAAAATTTTAATTATACTCTTCATTACAATAAATAATAATTACCTATATTTTGAAAAATAATATTTATTTATCTATTTATTTTAATTAATTAATTTTTTTTTAAAAAAATTACTTTAATCAATTTTAATGAAAAAAATATATTTATGTTATGTTTTATGAAATTTAATTATTTTTAGAAGTTAATTGTTTCATATTTTTAAAATTAATTAAATTAATTAAATTATTAAAAAATGACATAATATATATAAACGTCTAAATAAAGACTATTAAAAAAATGATTTTTTATTTTTTACTTAGTAAGTTTTGATATTCGAAAAATTATTTAAATAATTTATTAATTATTTATTTTATAAAAATTTGTTTTTATAAAAATTTTTTATAATTTCATTCAAAAAATTTTTTTCTTCATTGATTTTATTTAAAAGTTTTAATATTAGAAAAAAATTTTTTTGATAATTTTAAATAGTTTATAATTCATTGTTCGGTTAATAATTTATTTTATAAATTTTATTAAAGTTTTTATCTCGGGATAAATAATATATTTAGACAAAAATCCAAATGAAATTTTTATTCAATAATTCAAAATAGAATTTTCATAAATCATTATATATAAAAAAAAAAAAGAAAACTCATTTTGAATCATAATTAGTAGCATTTTGCAAGGAAAATTTAGTATCATTATATATTTTAAGATTTATTTACGTAAAAATATAGGTATATGCAATCTTGTTAAACAAAAAATATTGAATATTCAAATTCTTATTTTCAAAGAAAGATTTATTGAACTATAAAAAGATATGCGAGAAATACGTAGCTTTGCTTTTGATGCCATTTACGGTATGATAAACAAGTATAAATTCCTGTTGTATGCGTACTATGCAATGCCATCACAAATCAAACATGGTACGTGGAAACTCTCTCTCCGACGACTTAAAGCTTTTAGTTAATAATCCTCAATATAGTGATTTAGAAATTAAATGTAAGGATGGCAACGTCCTTTATGGTAATCGTGCAATCCTTGCCGCTCGTTCTGAAGTGTTTGAAAGAACTCTCTTTACCAGAGTTTCCGAAACTCTAGATAAGCAGATTTCTTTTCCAAAAATTGAATCTTCGCACATGAAGATTATTCTTGAGTATCTATATACTGGAATAGTTCTTGAAAAAGATATTACGGCCGACAATGCTTTTGAAATTTTACATGTTGCGGATTTCTTTCAATTAGAGAAACTTCAAGAACTTATTTCAGAGCGTTACAAAAAAATGTGCACAGAGGAAGGAATTGGAAATAAATCACCCGAGTTATTATCTAAGGCAGTTCAACTTATGTCACCTACAGATGATAACGGAACTATCAGATATTTAGTAGATGAAGTTGCGAAAATTCCTCTAGATTCTATTGAATTTGATAGATTATCCCTTCAAGGTTTACAGTGCATGTTATCAAAAAGAGATGAAAAGAAATCATTTTCTTCTAGTGAATATTCTGTTTTTCGGTTTACTGTCTTAACGGCTGCAAAAAGCGTATCTCACGAAGCATTTTCTACCCTGGAGAAAAGGTTACGACCATGGATAGAAGTTCAGGAAGCTCTTCAAACTCTCAACAATAATGACTTGATAAAGAAAGAAATTAGTACGTCAGTTTCTAATATTATAAAACCTATTGTAGAATACATCGATTTTAGAAGGATTGATGCAGAGATTATTGCAAAAGCAATCGAGCCATTAGATATTATTTCGTCCAGTAAAATTACAGACTCATATCGGCACCTAGCACTTAAGAATGCACCACTATCACCATATTATGGAGTCAATATCTTCATGTGGGATAGAAATAGTTGTGGTAAGGATTTAGAAATTTGTAACGATGGACGTACAGTTTACACATCCAATGTTATTACTAGTCATAGATGTGTAAAAGTTAACTATCCTATGAGTAGAGGTGTTTATGAATTTCACGTTCTAAATGAGGAAGATAGTAAATATTCTTGTTTTGGTGTTTGTAGTGAAGGACTCGACTTTTCCCAATTTATTGGCTATCAACCATATGGATGGGCTTTGGGTTCTAATGGATTTATATATCATAATAATAAAAATGTCAACGTAAATCTGAAATTTGGTAAAAACGCAAAAATCATAGTGCACCTAGACATGGATAATAAGACAGTTGCATTTTCGGTTAATGGCGCAAGAAGTCCACCGGTTACATCATGGAATAATCTTCCATCGACACTTTATTTTGTTGCTTCACTCAAATCTCCGGGAAAGTATAGGATTTTACACCCAGACGAATAAATTATTTTAATTACGGGATTAAGTATCTCATCAAAAATATTTTAGAATTATCTTGTATTTTATAATGCATCTATTTTAGGCAAAAAGATAGCAATGGGTTTCTGGTGGATGTGACGAATGTTCTTTAGTAAAGCTATAAATAAATTTACCTTTTTATTATGCAAGCGTTTTCTTAATATGCAAAAAGAAAGAAAGGGAAATATTATACTGTATACAGTATTTAAAATCGATAATCTCTAAGACCCAATTATTATAACTACTGTACATTAAGATCTAAGAATGTAAAGATTAACGAGAGGCGATTCTAGTCAAAAACCTAAAGTTAGAGCAATATGAACTTATTGGTGGCGTATTATTGATTACTCCGCATGAACTTAGTTTAACGTCTGTTCGACCGCATGTCCGATTACTTTATACGTTCTAAGCACTAGAATGATGCCACATGAACACTAAGAGATCTAAATCTAAGTATGTCTTCGAAGCCATAAATAAATCCGTTATTGCATAGCCAAATAATATTTAATATTAAAAACAGAATATCCTAGTTAATATGACTTAACTTTATTGATCGTCATTTAAATCTTAAATGTTGCACTTAAGTGACATCTTGATTCGTGTGATCCACGGCTAAAAGGCTGCACGAACTCGATCAGATTAATTTAGTACGTAATACTGTAAATTATTGAACATTCTAATATCACAGAAAAGGGCGTCTTTTTTTTAAAAAAAAATAGTAACACTATTCTTTGGGTTATGCTTAATATAGCCTCAGTCTTCGTGCAAGTTATAGAACTTTTTAAAAAAAAAAAACAGTAAAATAAAAAAAAATGAGAATAATGTGTAATAATAAAATAATTAATAATTAAAATAATTAAAAATCGAAAACAATAAATGATATAAATATTTAAAAGTCGGATTTTCGTTATTCCACACGTGCACTTAACGAAAGTTTCAAAACAAAGGCGCAACTTTTAATTGTTTACTTTTTTTCGCGAAACAATTCACCATTTTCGGGCCTATCAAAGCGAATATCGATGCGTGATAGTTATTTTTACTAAGTAAATAAGAAAAAAAAAACTCGTCTTATTTCGATGGTTTTAAAAACATGATGACTAAAATCCATATACGGTAGGGAATACAGTATGTGCATCGTCATCATTAATTTTACTAATATTTAATGAGTAAGCCGAGTCGAAAAGCGTTATAAATTACGTCGTCTATTCACTTTATGTATCGCACAACTTTGTTCTATTACTGTACATGGTTATGCCTTAATCCCTTTTATTGTGATACAAATTAATATACATACCGTGCATATGATGGAAGGCACATGCATACTGTCGAAAGTTTCTATGAGAAGTGCTATGCGATATCCCGTGAAAAATTCATGGTAATTTACTTAAAATATAGATATTGATTGATATAGAGAGGCATCATCTCAATTCCGAGAATTATTGAAAAAAAAAATTATTCGATTTTAATTGTAAATTATTAACCACTTTGACTTTATAAGCCGATCAAAAAATTTTAATGAAAATTGATGGTGTAAATCACGCGTTATAATTCATACAGCTTGATTTTAAATAACGTAGCGCAACTCTGACATTCACACGATAAGTTATACGCATAATGTATCTCGTTAATTAAAAAAAAATAAAAAATAAAAAATAAAAAATAAAAAAAAAAACCGAGAACCATCATTCCATTTACGTAATCAACAAGCTTCATACATTTTCTTTTCTTTTTTTTAATATGCAACCTAGGTTTTAGTTTTATTTTTGTACAAATCTATTTTTTGCTAGATGACGTAGCTTTTTATAAATTAAAAAACAAGTGTCCTTCCTATTGGTGAATGCTCACCAATAAATTATAATACAAATAATACGACCATGCACTTCATTAATAGAAAGAAAATACTAATTACACAAATATTAGGAAAAATAAAATCGATGGTGCGATATGACTTTAGAAATGCTCTTTATGGAAGTGGAATTTGATCCCTTCGGTACTAGCAGCTTTTGTTTCTCTCTTTAATGATTTTGCCAGCGGAGGAGGTCCACAATAATAGACACCCACGTTTGTCTGCAATTCGCGTTCCTTACCCGGCAAGTACACACCGGAGTCGATGGCTCGAACCATCTGCGAGAAAATGTAGCCAAAATTAGGCCTTCCGTAGTGGGTGCGTGATGACAGATCGGTCAGCGGATCGTAGGAACCACTCACGTCGTTGATGATGATATTTTGAATAATGGATTCCCTGAGTTTTGAGGTGAGATAAATATGGAATTTCAGGAACCCTTCTTCCATTTGGGTAGCTTCCAGAGTTTTGAGCAATGATTGGAACCATTCGAATGCGCCAATGTCGCGGCAGATCCAGAAGAATTCAACGCGCCTTAGCTTTGATGGTTTTCTTTTGCTGTTTTGGTACCTATTAAGCAAACGTTTCGTCAGTTTTGTCAATTAGATTCAACAAATCTCGAATATCATTCTCGAGTTGAGAAAGAAAAGCGCCTACCAGATATTCTTTAAGATAGAAGCAAACGGAGTAACACCAATACCACATCCAATCAATACAGCAATTTCATTTTTAAACACATCCTCGGCCGGAGCCCCATAACTTCCGTCTATTCTCAGCGATGGCATTTCTGACGTATCCGGCATACCCTTATAATCCATAGGATTCCTATCGCAACCTAGCAACTCTCCTAATTTGTTGGTGAAATCGCCGACTTGACGAACATGCAACGAAACATATGGATCATCAGGAGCAGAGGTGATGGTGAACGGGTGCCACTGCCATCTTGATATGGCAGGAACATTCATGAATAAATATTGACCAGGCTTGTAACGGAAAGATGGTTTGTCAAATTGAATCTCGATGGCTCTTGATGGATGATAAATGACTTTTGTGATTTTGGTTTCCCGGCGTGCTCTAATTTCACGCAAGACACGTTCCAAGAAGTAAAGGATACCAGATACTATGGTGAATCTCCACGAAAAGTAACCTTTACACACACCCGTGGCTGTACGTACAAAACAACCGTGACCATGAACATATAGGCATAGCAAGAAAAAGAATGCCAAGTGATGAGTGTACCAAAACGTCTCGAAGGACTGCTCGCGCATCTTATGATGAGCCGAGGTATACATTAAGACCATTATCAACAACATGATGTGACCAGTGAGACCCGCCCAAGTGGTGTAATGAAGATTCAACGCATTAAATTTATGCAATTGTTGCAACCTCCAGAAATTTATGTAATGGGAAAATACGTGAATTAAGGTGAAAAGGAGCATAGCGTAGGCGGCTTGTCGGTGAAACCAAATATTCTCGTCAAATGGAATGATCTTGTTTAGAAAACTCAGGCGTAAATACTTTATGAGATTTCTGCACACGGGTAGCATGATAATAGCACCATCGTAAGCCAGGACCAGACCGGCACCACGAGACATCCACACGGAAAGACCGAGAACGTTCAAGTTGTTCAGCTCGGGGTCATCCTTTTGCTTGAGGAAACCATATATAAAAAGACCAATGTGACTAGCAAACCAAAATATCCAAAAGGCCAGGCGCTTCGGAGCAAACTCTCTAGATATGAAATTTTCTGCCATTTTCCTGAAATGACTAATTTTTTATTTTTTTTTGGCCTGAAAGATAAAATAAAGGACGTGGCTCAGAAGAAACGACGTGAGGCGTTTAAATAGGTAAAAATTGTTTTGTATTGAATTTTTTGTTTCCTAGAGTACTATCAAAGTACTTTGGATACGACTGGGTAAATTAAAAGAATGATCAATTAATACCTCCGCAACACTGTCGATTTTTAGGGAGGACCGATAAAGTTTTTATGCCTATTTATAAAAGATCTCACACGGGAACGATTGATGAGCGTCGTGCTTTTTTTTTTTTTTTTTATACATTAATGAAAACCAATGAAAGTTGTAGTAAACAAAAATAGACTATTTTGTAAAATAACTGTATACGTACTTAGCATTATTAAATTTGAGACTGACTACTATTGAAAAACCGAACAGCCGACACACCCATATCAAAACCACACTTGAAACCGGAATACGAGGGCGTGTAACATGAAGGCTACTATGCGCGTAAGGGTTTCAGATGTTCCATCAACAATTTTAATTTACGCACAGGTAAATCATATTAAATTGTGGTGCACCGAGTGAAGGGTTCTTTGAGTATGGTAAAAAAAAAAATCTATGGTTCTTAGAGCGAGAGACAAAGATTCTGTCAACCACACCAGCAACCAATATCGTAACAGTTAAATGATTGGTTCGTGGAATTAATGTTCCAGAAAGGTAAATTTATGGTAGACTTGAACTGGATAACGACAGGCCGAAGGTTAGAATCTCTGTATTACTGTAGATCAAGATTTAAAGGTCGAACTACGCTAAAACTCGAACGACGTTCGACGCAGGCGGAGTTTCCTATGGAAAGAAAACAAAATTAATGTGAGAAATCCATGATTATTGGGTTTTAAAATTTGACACCCTGTAACATTACAGTTTTGACTATGACAACAATAAATTTTTGATAAATAATATACCAAGGATGGTTAGCTATTGTGGACGCTTGACAATTGTGGTAAATAAGTATTCATTCTTGTTAGGAAATTAATTTGCGATTAAATAATCGTGATGATCGACAAATTATTCATGATCATCATCTATACTGTACATACTGTTTCACATTTTTTCACGCACAACAGCTAATTCTAGATTTCCTGAGTGGGAAGCCTGGGAATAGGCGTACAGTATATTGTATTATTGTGGGAAGGATAAAAATGTACGCGACATGCTAAGCGTAACGAATAACCCATTTTTGCTTCAGACGTGTGCTATACATTTACCTCCCACGCGAATTTAGACAATTTTGAACATCTGGTAGAATATAAACCGAGTCATTCCTCAAATACCGACTTAATGCAAGAGATGTCATTAATAGATCAAATACCTGCACACGTTCTTTCGACAAGATAAAACATAATTATGCACATTGTCTTTCACGAATACTTCTTTTTTATGCAACTTGAATTTTATTTGTTAAATGATCAATTGTAAATTTTAAATATGAAACGTTATTTTTATATTTATCTTAGATTGAGAAATATTTTTATTTTGTTTTTTTTTTTAAAATTTTTTTAGCAGAAAAATCTGTATACGGTATAAAAGTTTATTAAGAACAAAACTTTTATCATGAGAAATTTTTTTGAAAAAAAAAATCAATAAACCAATAATAAAATTTTTTAAATATACAAAAATTTTTTAAAAAATTTTCTTAATAAATAATAATATTTTTATTAAATTTTTATTTTATTAATATCATTTTAGTATAAAATTTATGTACAATATACTACATACTGTATGCTATAAATTTAAATAAATTGTTTTAGTAAAAATTTTCTTTCTAATTTTTTTTTTTAAATTTACAATTATATTATTAAGCTTGCTTTATTAAAATCCTTAAAAATCAATTATAATATTATTTGAACTTTCATATAATAATTATCTCATTATTGTATATTTTTAATTAAAAAACTATATTACTTAAAAAATATAAAAGTTCAATATATTAATATTAGATCTTCTATCAATTAAAATTATTATTATTAATTTGTCACTATAAATTATTTCGAAAAATAATAAATTAATAAATTAATAAATCAAATAAAAAGAAAAGGAAAAAGAAATAATTCGATATTCTTTAAAAAATTTATATGCAAGTCAACAATCTTCTTTCAAAAAATCTATCTAATTTATCAATTACTAGAATTTTATACTATTTGAAAAAAAATTTATTTTAATTTTTTACTACTGATTTATTATTTATTTGCTTATAAATTAATGTTTTAGTTTTTTGAAATTATTTAAGTTTTTGATTATTTCTCTATATAAAATTGTAAAAGATTTTCTTTCTTAATATTAAAGATATAAAATATATTAAATTAATATTTATGTTTTATATGATGTTATTTTATTTATTTTAAATATTTTATCAATAATTTTATTTGGATTAATATATAATATTTTTTAGATATTGTATTAATACTTCTTTATATCTTTTTTTTTATTGTAAAAAATATTAAAATAACCAAAGTTTAAGTTTTTAATATATTTTTTTAAAGTTTAATTAAAATATCTATAATAGTTCTCTTTATTTATTTATAATTTAGAATATATATTATACTTTATTAATAATTATATCTATTTTTCTTATTTTATTATATAATTATAATACTATAATAATCTATAAATCAACAGTACAATAGGTATACTCTTAAGTTACCATTTATGAGTTTCTGATTCATTTCCACTTTAGAACAATTTTCATAATATATGTTATATTATATAAGATATATATCTATCAGTTATATACTCACTTGTATACAAATAATCTATAGAAATTTATTTTTATTTTTATTTTTTTTTTTAACCCTCTGTCAGGTTAGTTAAGTGTGCTTTATTAAACATTTGTAAGCTGTACATATTAAATGAAA